TCACTCCCCAGCTCCTGATGCTGTCCTGAGTCAGCTGCAATTTGCCTATAAAATCCTACAGCAAATCCATCCCTATTTCTGGCATTTGCATTAAATATTGAGCTGCAGCCTGAAATACTCATAGACACCGAGTCACTGCAAAGTCTGCCCAGACAAGGGAAGTTTCAGGTGCCCTTGCATGCACTATTTAAGTTTTGCAGAATGGATTACATGAGAACTGGAACAAAAAGTCACTGAATATTCAAGCAGCCCGTAAGAATTGTATTACCTGATGCAAAACTGCTGTTGCTGTGGATTTTTGCAAGCAATAAAATATGAAACTTTTACAAAGGTGAAGATTTAGAGATAGTGCTAAAATTATGCCATTATCATCCCCAGGTAACTGTATGGCCTTTAATGAGGTAACAAAGTGTATGAAGCAGAAATTAGTCTAGAAATTAATAATGTTTCTTAATGATCATTAGCTCAAGAGTACTTAGGGCTGGGATTGCAAAAGGAGTCTGAGGTAGTTAGATGCTAAGTTTAATGTGATCTGGGGACTTGGAGGGATTCAACTGCCTGATCTCTTGGGTTTCTCAGAAGCTGTGCTCTGTACACTCACACGTAGTAATGGTCTGTCTGTCTGATATCAGTAGATCCTCCTCTTTGTGCTGTATGTACCGCTTCAGTCTGACCTTGGCTCAGACCTGCAGCTAGAGCCTTTGCCTCGCATTTATCAGAGAAACTAAGTCCTGTCCATTAGATAATTTATACACTGCATCCACTTTCCCATCAGAGTTACCCAGGACACGCTTGAGCTGTTTTGTATCTCTTGCTGTGCTGAGAGCTACAGACAGTGACCCAAAGTCATTATCCTGGCTGCAGGTATTATCCTCATCCCGCACTCTCTGCTTCCCTGCTTGAACCCAGACATCCCGTGGACAGTGGAAGAGAAAACAGCCAGCACCATTGAACTAGGAAACTGCCCCTACATGGCATGGAACGAGCTGCAGTAAGGGATCAGTATGGAAGAGGCTGTATGGCCTTTCCTCAGCTCTGCTGTTTGTCATAAATGAGATAATGTGAGACTATGCCAAGAGGCGACAAGATAGGGTGTGTTGTGTGATATTACAGAAAGGGCATGTCATAAACATTACGGAGAGGAATTAGCTGATGCCCTCATGTGAAGATACAAATATGTGGGCTGTTCATTTATGAAGATTCTGTTGGAATTTTTTCAGATTACCTTCTCTCCACCACCTTTGTTTATAATTTCCTTTTGTCCTTTTCTGCCTTTTTGCAACCTGTACAAACGGTACTATTAACTCAAATCGAAATCCTTTCCATTCCCTTTAGTAGACCTGTTGGGGTAATGCCAGCTGTCCCTACCAGCCAGAAAATCCACCCCACCTTCCCTCAAATAACTTTGAAAAACTCTTTTCACCTCTGCTCCCTATAAGGTCTGGGATTTGAATTCCTGACCTGGTGTAACTCAGTTCAGCAAGGTGTTGCTGGCATGGTCAGCTGAACAGAGATAAAAGAAGCAGGTACAATCTGGCTCATGTAAGATGAGATGCCTTGCTGGTTTGCAGATTAGCTGTTGTGCATTGTTTTACAATTTGTCCCATCTTCTCTTCAATGATGGAAAATCCCATCTCTGCCCTCTTTTGACATGTTTCAGATCTGTTTTCCTGTTTATGTAGTAGATATTTCCAGTTTGTGTGTTACTGAATCAGATCCCCATGGACCTGATTGATAATTGAGAAAATTAAAGAACCTTGAGTTTATCACCCTGTATGGAGCTCATGCCTGTGAGAGTTTTGACTCAAGAATACTTTGATTCAGGAACACTTTCTCTATGCTACTGAGAATGAGAGGTATATAGAGTATATAATGCCAGACAGTGGAGAAAGGAGAAGGAAGGTAAGAGAACTGGACACTCTGCATGCTATGAAATAAAGTGTGCAGATGTGGAAAAAAGAAGTAATCTCCTCTTTTCTCTCTTCAGAGAGTAAATGATGAGCCCAACAGTTAAATTCTATTGACCTGTGCTCACTGTTAGAGAGACATAATGCTCCTCCAGGAAAAGATCTTTGTGTTTATTATGGACTACCATATTTGGTTGCACCAAATACATCAAAATCATCTAGGCAGGATCACAAAGAAAAAATATTTTGTTTTTTACATTTCTACAGAATAAAACTGCAAAACTGCTCTGTGTTTTAAATGATCACTTTTTAAATGAAATGGTATTTCTTCTGTTCAGAAACAACAAGCTACAATGTTATTATTTTCACGCTTTTGTTTAAAATGTGACTATTATTTTTGCAGGATATGTCAGCAGGAATTAGTAATTTTGAGCACCTATAAAAGTGATAGGTTGAACTGATCCTTGACACAACTAATAACTGCCCAAGTCCAGCAATTAGTCATCTATAGGATGAGTATGAAGATATTAGGTAGGCTTAATTGAATACACTCACTGAGAATCAATAGTTCAAAAGATGGTCCTTGCCCTTGATTGCCAATGGGTTGAAATTATTGTAATGTTGTGTTAATTTAAGACTGTTTTCCCTTTCACCTGCTTGAACTCATAGGAATTTTTAGCAGAGTTTCTCTGCCTGCCTTTCTGGAACTAATTTTTAATTTCTGAGGAATTTAAAATCAGTGGGCCAGAGAACAAGAGCAGTGGTTGCAGCATGGAAGATGCAACAGAAGGAAACAGTTTGAAACTCAACCAAAATAAAATACAACAAAAAACACTACAAAAAAGTTGAACCTTATCCTCTAAAACAGAATGTTACCGATCTTAACTATGTTCCAGCAGTGTGGCACAGTTATGACAAAGGCAAACATAGTCCTACCTGCCAGACAGTACCTACTCTCATTGCTAATCTCATGACTGATCCTGGACCACCTTCCTCCACATTAACACTGTGACTGACGCACAGATAAGACTGAACCCTGTCCCCAGCCATAACAGGCTGTGAAGGTGAAGCACCCTGAGCATGCTGGTGCTGCCCACCTCCACAAACCCTAACTCAAGAACTGCTTCTCTGAATTGCTCTAATGGGACTTCATCACAGGGATTCAGGTATTATGTGGCTGGTATTATGTGGCTGGTAGCTTAGGCTGTTAAATAGAGACTGGATTTTGAAAGTTTCCTTCTTTCAGCATCTGAAATCAGTTAGGGGGCAAGGGGGGAACACTTGGTGCTGTGACAAATAAGCACCACTTGGCGCTAAGTCCTGCTAAACTCTTCCTGGCAGCTTTGTAATATGCTCATGCCAAGCAGATGATAAAAGCTGGCAGTTAGAGATATATTTTGTGGTGCAACTCATGGCTGAGAGAAAAGGCTACACTGAAGAAAGCAGCTCATTCCAAGCTCTTATACTGACCTGCCCACGCCATATTTTCTGCACCTCTGTCCTCTATACCACTACTGTCTATATTTAGTGTATCATGTTTTAAAAGTGGAGGTCATCTCTTACAGTGTTTGCAGAGTGCCTAACACAGTGGGTTCACAGTTAGGAACAGACCCATACAACTGCTATTATGACAAAACATAAGCCCTTGGTTGTGGGGTATTCCACAACAATGTGCTCTTAGACTCTCCTAGATTAAATGTTTTTACACACACACCTGCTCTGGGGATCATGCAGAGTCTAAATGGAGCATAGAAGTCATCATGTCACATGGAACAAAAGAAAATTTTGGTAGAGAACAATTCAGTCAGTTCCTTTTGGAGACAGTCCTGCTATGAAAGGCTAAAATTTCAAAAAGTTTCTCCCTTTAATAGAAGAAAAGAAATAGTACTGGGGGTCCCAAATGAAGGGAACCTAATTGCAGCATATTTTTGCAGGAAAACCTTTCTCCAGCAATGCTCTTCTGAAAAGCGATTAGAAGAACAGCCTCCTGGGAGGCCAAATACTAATTTTGAGACAGGTAGTCTAAATTCAGTGTTGCTTGCTTAAGCCACGGGTATTTATTCATTACAATTCCACAGCAGTGTGAATAGCCACTTTAAAGCCAAATGGCGAATTAATTATAAAACTTTATCCCTTAAGCAATGCTATGCACTTGAGTTATGACTTGCCAGTCCTTGTAAATGTGTAGGACTATACTGCTTCCGTTTCATTCTGAGATCAGTTCCAGTGGGGACAGCGGATCAAATCCAGACCTCACATCACTCTAACCTTGTTTTACTTCCTCCACCTGCTTGTGGCTTAGGAGTGTTCCCCAATAAAAGGCAATACAGACTGTACCAAACCAAAGCCAGGAGTTAAAACTGAAGGAGGCTCATGGAAGCTCTATGACTCTACCTTCTCTTCCTGCCCCTCCTCTCAGCATTCGGTGTCTAGCAGGGGTGACAGTGGGAAGATGAAATTATTTTTTCCTGCTTTGATCACAACAGGGTAATTTACTTGTCAAGTCTGCCCAGGCAGAGTACCACTCAGTCACTGAACAAAGGCTCAAAGCACCATGCACCAGGCAGGCTGGTCCTGCTCTTCCACCCACCACCAAATTTCAAACAGTGATCCCTCCCATCCAGATGACTCTGCTAGCAACCAGGAGTCGAGGCTATGTTTGTTTCTGTCATGCTTGGTTGGCTTTTAACTGACTTATCACTTAATTGCAAAAAACTCTGGCAAAAAAGCAAGCTGCCTTCAGCTTTTGGGCCTTGGTTTTTAGTGATATTTTGATTCCAAATGGGCTTTTGATGTCACAGCCAAAAGTATAAAGAGGAGATAGATAAATATGATTTTGACCACCTTCCATGAAGCATTCCTGACTGGGTTAATTTTCTACACAGAAACCTCTCTCTCATTTCCTAGATGGATTTTACTCCTTTGCTAAAGAAACAGCAGAAAAAAACCTCAGCGTGTCATTTAAGTCCTCAAGATTAAGCCAAAATGCCATTTGAAGGATGAATAGGGTTGTGGATAGGAGTATTCTTTTTCTCATACCTTCACTGGTACAATTTTCTACTCTGATACAGCTATTTTATTTTTCATTTCTAGTTTTTTCTAACAGAATACACCGGACCTCTTCTAATATATCTGCTCTTTTATATTCGCCTCTCAACTATTTATGATCAAGTGGAAAGCAGGAAGAACTTCCGCCACCCAGTGGTTCAGTAAGTGACACTTGTGTGAACAACTTTCCTGGAGCATGAGGAGCCAGAGGGATGGAGATTGCACTTCCAGAGCTGAGAAGGTTATACAGAATATGAGGCTTCATGCCTGCTTTCAGATTCCATTCTTACCAGTGACGGTTTGGCATTTTAGCAGAACTCATAAGTCTGGCCAAAAACGGTATCCCAGTTGCAATGGTCACCATGGGAGATGCAGTATTTTCTCCACACAGTTTGCACTCTAGACAAAAATCCTGAACAGAGGATGAAATAATAAAAACAGTGGGCAGTAACCCAAGGTCAATCTTGACAGAGAAGAGAGGGCAAGACTTCAGGTGTCCCACTCCCAGTCTCTTAATAGCGCATTCCTGCTCATGAAATGAGTAGCATCTGCATCCAGCACAGAGGATAACTACCCCCACACCAGCGCTCACCTAGGCACAAGAAGGAGGAAACTCAACTGGTATGCATGTCATGAGTCAGGTCAAGAAATTCTAAAGGTGCATCTCCACGGGATGGTAGTATAATGCACCAGGAAGGCTGGGAACTTTCACACCTAAGGAACTTCCCTTCAGTTTGATTGTTCCCATACTGGGCGGTCAGTGCCTGGCAGAGGGGTAAAATGTGATCAAGAAAAGCCTGTCATCTGTGTAAGTTGGACCACTTGTTGGAGGGCACACAGGGCACTAGGAAGCTCGAAGGACTGTACAGTTTTCCCACAGTGTTTTTCCACACTATGATTGCAGAATCAAGGGAACTGGTATACAGCAGAGAAACACAGTTAGTAATAATACCTTTTACAGATGGAGGAACAGACACTTGGAGAGACATTAAGGGAGTTAGTGGAGCTGGGAATTAGAACAGAGAATAACTGAATTCAAATCCACAGCTGCAAGATGTTTGTCTTCCTTCTCTTGCTCATATGCTTAAAAGGAGAGCACAGAAGAGCCAGTAACACCTTTACCTTCTTTTATGTGGGTAAGGAGTGCACAGAATCCTTCCAGTGGCCACTCCTTAATGGGTTCATCTGAGGTCCCCATCCTAAGCCAAACTCATTTTAAAATTCCCAGCAAAGCTGAAAGTTTGCTCCAGGCTTTGGATAAGTCATTAATTGTTTGAAAAATTTTTAGCTCAACTCTCTCTGGTTTAATCACTTTGAAATTGTTTAATCTTTGACTCTGGCTACCATACAAGATGCATAATAAAAGTATCTGAGATTTTACATGCTGAAAACCACTTTTCATTTATGTCTTATAATTGGTTTGCAGAAAGATGGGCTATGGTAGCGCAGTAAATGTAACCAAGATAAAATGCCATCAGGAATCACTCTTGACATTTGTTTCAGAAACTCAATCACCATGAGCTGCAACTCATTCTCGGAAGCAAATCAGCAATGCTTGTTATTGTTTCATAATTGTTCTCAAAAGAGAATCAGTATAATAATTTCTACCACAGTTACCTCATTTCTTTATAACAGGCAACAAAAAAGCCATCAGAATGGATTAACTTTGCAAAAAAATCCCATTTTGAGTCCACAAGGAAATGAAATACAAACTACCTCCATGCAGCTACTTGAGTTGGCAAAGGACAAGGAAACCATTCAGAAGATATTCAAAATGTTTTTAAATGTCAGGCACATCCTACAGGAGCATTAAGGTGGCCTTAAAACGTGGGAGGTTTCTTTTCAAAAAGCACGTCAGACGCCTGGTTGTATACACAGCTGTCCTGTCTAAATGTCTTGTCAGGGCTATGTATCACGTTCAGAGCTTGAGGAGCTCTTTCTAATCCAAGGCTAGTAAAAAATAAGTTTTTTCCCTGCAAAATGCAAGCAACTTTGTATAACACTGAGAATGATTCCATTAATCTTTGGTTCCAGATGCTTCAATTAAGACAATAACTTAAATCCCACTATTTCAATGTGACTGCAGTTTTGGAATATTAGTTCTTATTCCTTTCATGACATTAACTGTGAAATAATAAAAAGCAATCTTTCACTTATCCTAATTTCCTTTCTTTTTTTTTTTTTTTTCTTCCAGCTTGGCCTGCTTCTGTCACTGTTTACACTACATCAGACATCTTCTGGAGACATTATTTGTTCACAAGTTTTCGGAAGGGCACACTCCTCTGAAAAATATGATAAAGGTACCAATATGTTTATCATTTTTGTAAGAGAGAATATCCTCATATCAAAGAGTCCTTGGAAGGAGATAAGGAAATAAAAATTAATTTATTTTGTAGCTCCAAGAGCTATGTTTAGTCAAAATACAGACACAGGAAAATTTCAGGGCCATGTCCCCAAGGACATGAATTAAAATTAATGTCCACTTTAGTTCCTGCATGTCAGTGTCCACTTTGACTCATTCACCCAAGGGGCTGGTTGTCATGTTCAGGATATTTTTCAGACTGAATCGTATTTTATTATGAGACCTGCTGCTGCAACGTCTAGCAGTGTTGACAGAAATCACACACTACTACCTCTGTGCAACATAAATACAGAGAGAGAGACAGGCCTTGCATTAGGAAGTGAAAATCAAATTACAAGTAGAAAAAAAAAATTCTTCTATAGATGGAGGCCTCAGGCAGGACAATACTGAGCTGGCCTAGTCTTCTGTCTCCCAAAGCCTCCTGAATGTCAGCTGTGTGTCATTACTCATAGGCTTTCCTTTCTTTTATGTCACACACTCTATAGGCCACTTTGTATCATGCTCCCACCCCGTTCAGTGTAACTTAACGACCTTCCCTTTAAATGTTTTGAATACATTTAAGGTTTTAGTAAAGGAAATAAACATATGGCCATGACAGGGGGCTTGACTGAATTCCAGTCAGAGAGGAGCTGATCAGATGCACAGATAGAGATGCATAAGCTAAATAAGCTAAATGGCTTTGGAACCAGAGTGCCGTTTCCAAAGCGACTCATGCACGTGGGAGTTAAAGACCCACAGTTACTGTTCTCACCTTGTGTACCACAGTGACACTGCATAAAAAGATTAAAAAGAGAAAGCCTGACTTGCAGCCCTATTTATGGCATGGAACTGCATCCAGTGGCAGCACAGTGCTCTACTTCAACAGCTACTGAGCATGGGATGCTTAACTTGGGCACACAGAAAAGTTTTATCCAGTCTCCAGGGCGGTTTTGGTTGTTCGACTGGTGGATTTTATTTCACTCTTGTAGAAAGTAAGGGAGCAGTGACTCCTACACAGGTCAAGAACATAATCACATTATCTCTGCTTGGGTTTTACTAAGCCCGTGGCTTCAATCACCAAGCGAAGGCAGTTGGGGTGCTGCTTTTTATCAAGATGATAAAATGGGGTGGAATTTATGGGAGTAGAAATAGTGTGTAGACCAAATATGTTTAAAGGAAGTGTTTTCCTTTATTTTTGACAGAGTTAAACCAGGCCTGTTCACTTTTACTCCTTATTGTTTTGTCTGGTTTAGCATTCTGTTTTTCTAGCTCTATCTTGTTTAGGAATGCTGAATTTAAGGTACAGTAACAGCTCAGCTGTATTAACCAGCCCCAGACTTTTAGAAGAGAAATGTGTTCTTCAGCAGTAGAACCAAAGAATGAGAAAACAAATCCCAATTCCTACAATGGACATAAAACACATTTAACACAATAAGAATAATAAAAAACCCACTATGCTGTGTCCTTTTTTTTTTTTTTCCCTAGCTTCACAGCATCTTAAAAAAAGATATATATTCTGAGACTCACAAAGCCACTGCAAAGTCTCTCAATGGCCATCTGGGTTTTGCACTTACCAGAACTTATGTTTATAAAGTTACAGTTCGTACTTGCTTATTGCTCTTTCAAAAAGATTACCTTTTTTTTTTTTTTTTTTTTGTCTGTTCCAGGGCTGTGCCTTTTACTGGGGATTCACATCCTGGATCGCCTACTACATCAACCACCCACGGTATACACCACCATGTATGTATGAGTAGAACACAAAACTGACCTCGGTTTTAAAAAGTTTTGGGCATGTAACCTCAAGTCCTCTAAAATCAATTGATTGCCCCTCATGAGATCCTATGACTAACCTAGCAGAAATTAGCCTTTACACTCTGTCAGAAGGAAGATTCTTATGTTGGAGGCACCTCTGCTTGAGCCACCAAATGTACGTGCCTGTTCAGCAATGGGCAATCACTGTCCAGTTTTATCAACTGGAAACATTGGCCAAGTGGAGAAAACACAAAAATTTTGCTCATCTTCACAACATTTGTATTAAGAATACAGGAGAAAACTAGAACTGGCTGCAGTTCTTGGAAGAGATGTTTATTTGCTAAAGATATATCCTTTTCATGAAAATTATGATTTTCTTTTTCTTTTTTCTTTTCTTTTTTTTTTTTTTTTGTGAGAAATTAGTAAAAATCCATCCCATACTGCTGATAACAAAAAGATCCTATTTTTTTAAAACTTTCACGTTTCATTCATCATTTTGTTCCCTCTAATCATATTTGATTGTTGCATTGCTGTATCTTCATTTTTTTGTTTGTTTGTTTACTCTTTGAGCCTTTGCTTCTTTTGAGCATAATTGGCTTAAGCTTTATTTTCTGCTGCTTTACTTTCCTTGCTACACCTTACTCTCTTTTCCTCTGTATATTAGATTTATCTATGAGCTTTGGGAACAAAGCAGTTGGTTTGCCATTTTTATTTACACTCAGGTAAATTGGTTTTTTCAATAAAAAATTTCTCATACATGACACTTGCTTTTCTTTCAAAACAGTACAGAAGTTCTGCTTCAAAATTATGTGATTCATTGAAAGACAGTTGAATTTGCTGTGGCTATAACAACAATGCTGCAAACAATATAGGAACCTCCCTAGACACAATTTTTAGTGGTCTGGGCTATCAAATCAGTAGGTGCAGCTTCTTTATTGAGGAAACTATTTGTTCAAGACACAGAAGAAAAAGCTTTTAGAAGAAATATTTCCAATTGCTTGCCACTGCCTTAACATGACAATTATAGGTATTTGATTCTAATGATGGAGATCACCAGCCCTCTGGCATAGTTAGTGGAATCAGTAATACATTGATGGTTTATGTGGGATGCAGGGTAACCTCCACAGCAATGACTGGTTTGGGGACTGGCAAGGAAAGGCAAGATAGTTGCAGAATTTACCACAGGAGTAGTAAATTAAGCCAGGTTGACAAAGGGCCTGTGAAGAACATCTGCTTAGCAGCTGCATGCTCACAAGTTTGGCATGTGCTGGTGGTTCTGAGGAGGTCTTTTAGCACGTGCCCGTGGCATCACTGAGGAGTCAAGTGCCAGCCAGAAAAAAGGGCTCTAAAAAGTGAAGGCTTAATGAGACTTGGTCAGGGAGAGGAGGTATATACATATGGTTTGTGTCCATCAGCTTTGAACAAGGTTGACTTGAGAACTGCAAACCTTTGGAGATGAACATGAACTCAATTTCACTTAGTAAGACTGTAAAATGCCTTCTCAAACAGGTTAGATGTTTGTTTTATTACTTCCTTCTGCATTTCAGAGAAAGTTGCAGGGGGAAGCTGTGAGCAAACTATCTCCCTGGTATGCAGAGTGATAACATGCTTCCAGACATGTACAAGGCCTCTGTGGGCCAGAGAGGGTGGGGAAGGAGAGAGAAAATATACAAAAAGCATTGGAGAAGGCAGGGTATTGCCTTTTTTCCCTGGGGACCATGTGTGTGCAGCATCATTAAAAAGTGGTCCTTGCATCTGAAATAAATCTTTTTTTTAATCATACCACTGCCTTGGCATTCTTGGGAAGAATACCTATGTATGTTTTACCTTACAGAATGGCTATGTATTGGGTTCTCTGCTCATGAGGATAGAAAGGCCTATGGAAACTAGTTGGCCTGATTCTGCCACTGACCTTTACTTCTCTTTACTCTCCTTGCCTTTTCCATTTACCACCACCAGCTGCTTTGACAAAACAATTGGATATATGAAGATGGCAAATACGTAAAAAAAGATAGGTGAAACCTGACTTGAGATCATTGGTGAAGAGACTGGCATTTCAGAGTGCTATTACTATTTGTATAGTCTTCATATTGTGTGTGATAATATCCAATCTTTCTGCACAGCCTGTCAGGAAAGAAGTATTTCTGCTCCTCAGCACTAGATTAATTTCACCCACAGCAAACCATGTGCATACCGTAAAATGCAATTTATCATTTCATTCTGTTTTCTAGCATTTGGCCACAGACAAGTTTCTTATGCTGCCCTTGCTTTTCTGGTACGTACAAAAATGAAGTTTAATTAATGATTGTGGAAAAGGAGTAAATCACGATTTAGTAATATGTAGTAATGCCGCTATGCATTTGTGTATATACATATATATATATATTATACATATACATATATATATATGTATGACCATGCCCACAGTCCTGTTCCTTTGGCTGAATTTAGTGCTAATCTGTTAAAGTATCTCAGTCAGGAAGTCTTCTGCTACTACTTATGTATACAGAGCTTAATGTGAAGTACTGTATCTGAGAGCCATGAGAACATCATCAGCGTTGTTACTACTGAGAATTGTGTTAAAACAAATATTTAGGCAAATTGAAACTTGTGATTTTTAAAACATTGAAGAGTTACATCCTAAACAGACTTTGCAATAGTTCAGTGTATCCTGAATAACTTCACCTCAACAACTATTAAAAACAATACAAACAATCCCTGCCAAAGTGGCTTAAGCCAAGGGAAAGTGCAGCTGACGAAGGACAGCTGGAACTGATGATTGAATGAACGTAATCACACAATGAGACAGAAGCTCATCAGTTCTCACATGGAAACAAAAATTCTCCCTGTCTTCTGTGGCATTTTGCTTGGAACTGCTGGGTGGTGACTTACCCAAGCAAGCACAGGTCAGTATCCAAAACAGTCGGCCTCTTTAAAAGTCATATACAGATCAGTTTCCAGAAATACAACAGGAAGATGGGACAGTAACATGTCTAGGCTCTTTCAGGCAAACACTATTCAGAAAAACATTCAAAAGCTCCTTTAGCAATATAGAAATGCTTTTGTAAATTGGGAACCCTTAAAGATCACAATTTGGGCAGTGTTTGTTTCTGGGGCTGGCCATGCAGTTCTCAGCTTTTCAAGCCCTAATAAGGTATAGCAAATACTCAAATGAAGAAGTTCACACACTCCATGAGTCTCTATAGCCGAAAACAATAACCCAGTACTGCAGAGACAGGAGGTTGTGGCAGTGGTGGGCAGTAGTATGCCCAGAACCTTGCTGTCTGTGCCCTTCCCAAGCTCGGGGGTTATTTGAAAACAAGAAAACTTCTGAATACCCAGTGCTATCAGAAAAACTAGTCCTTGTCAAAGTCTCTACGTAGAAAAAGCCTCCTTTTCTATTGAAACATTCTTCCTTGCCTCAACATAACATGCCCTGCTATAGCTTTTAGGGAAATTGCTGCCATTAAGCAACAGGATGAGTCCTGTTGGGGTTGTTTGATATAAAATACAGCAATCCCCTTCAGATCTGCATCAGCACCTGGTCTGTGGTCTCGGTCCTTACAGTTCTTTTGAGAACTCCCTACCCATGGAAACTGAAACCCTTTCCCTTTCAGCTCTTGTGCTGGCAGATTCCCAGGCAATGATTTTAAAACACCAACAAACAAAATAAAATAATTTGAAGCTGTTTTCACAGGTTTCTAAAACATAGGAATAAAATATTTGGAAGATTTCTTTTTCTTACCCTCTTTTAAAGCTTGTGTTTACTACATATCCTGATTTAAGTGTATACATCTGCAGCTGCCATAAACAATGGTACTGAGTAATATGAAGAGTGTCTGCAGGCCCTTCTGAAATATTCTCATATTTAGAGAAATTAGTCTAAGCTTTGCAGGGATGTTTTTCTCATGGGGTACACATGGCATATAAAGAGGGAAAACAGTATGTAGACTTCAGTATTTTAGAATTGTAAATATATAAGCTTTTCGGTTGAGGTTCCCCACTCCCCCATATTTTATATCTGAGACACTAAGGACTAGCTTACATTTAGCAGTACTTCTCAATGTAGAACATTAACAGTCACATTTCTAGAGAGGGACATAAGAGTTAATTACAGCAGAATGCAGCTGCAGAGTCAAAGGTAAGCCGATAAAAAGCCCTGCAGAAATGCCCTTTGCTTGTTTTACTTAGAATCGATTATAGAATTAGTAGGGGTTAACTACAGTGTGTGAATATCTCCTGCTCCACAATGGTGTGGGCATCACACATTTCAGTATATTGTTGCACAAAATGACTTTTAGCTACAAAACCATTTTCTTTGAAATAATAGTAATCAGGAAAAAAATCATGTTTCTAGCTGATAATGGGAAGTATATAAATTAAAATTACTTCTATTGCTATGGCTAGAGTTACAGCTTTTGATATGGTATTTTATAATAGAATTTCCTTTTTGGCTATTTATTGTTTTACATCTGGTATTTATAACAGATGACCATCAGGTAGTTGTAATTAAAAAAACATAAAAGAACAGAAAGATTTGAACCATAACTACCTATCCATGCAGAACAACAGCTTTGCTAATAGACCTGATTTAAACTCTCCAAATATACCCCACAAAAACCTCTGTCTAAAAGCAGAACATTTTTCAGCAATGCTATCTACAGTGTTCTTTCAGATGACACATTTCAATATAAAATGAAGTTACATATTCTTTCAATTAGTTTTAATTTAGTTTTCAATTTGGTTTTATTTAGTTTTGCAATTTAGTTTTAAAGTTTAAAGTCTTTTTTTTTAATTAATTTTTGGACTTTATGCTTTTAATGTCTCTAGGTTTTAGTATTTTCCTTTTTATTTTAATTTCTTAAAGTTTTTTCCAGCCTTGCAAAATTTAGAATGACAAATTGGGTAAGAAAATGGAACTTTTTAACACTGCATTTTTTCATCTGTAGTGGACAAGTCAGTCTTTAAACCTGGAAATGAATAAGAAAGTTCAATTCATTCTGAAATGTATACAGCATTTTGATTTTCTTCATAGAGCAAGGGAAAAATTAAACACATAAAATTACATAGTTGTGCTGATGGGCCTTCTTTTCCAGGAATTGAAACTGGTTTTCCTACCAGTTCCCACTTTAAATATGGGTAAATATTGGGCTTGATTCTTCAGTAGTTGTAACTGAGGAAGTACTGAAAGCCTCAAGAAAATCTGAAATCATCTACTACTACATGCTGTAAAACCAAGTGGGGAGACATGATGCCTCTTCTAATGATTAAAAACATCTAAATATTAATGACCAAGCTTGAGACGTTGGTTAGGGCTGAAAATGTAAAAACCAGAGACTTGCAGAACCAGGAGTGATACTGGCTCCCTTCATTTATCAGTTCCTGACTACTATCCATTCAACCAGTCTGCCCTTCAGAGAACCACTGCCTTTTTATTCACCCTATTTTTCCTTCGTGTTACACTGAACACCTTTGAAAGGCATCTTACTCACAACATCTTTACAAAACCAGTGGTCAGCTTTTCACCTGCTTCTTTGCAGCCTAGATTAAATCCAAAATAAATCAAGAAGAGCATCTTGCTGAATTCCTTAGACCCAGGGAGCCTCCCTGATCTCCCCAGAGCAAAGCATGGGGCACATGCTGAAGACCTGCCTGGACCAAGCTCTGCAGTGCCTGAATCAGGGCCTTTCACCCCAGGCTGCACCCACGGTGCTCATTAGACACTCGTGTGCTTCACGGAGATCACGAGCTGCATTTCAGAGTACATATTTTCTGGGTACAGAGACTGAGTTGTACTGGGGGGATTCTGGTTATGCGCTGCAACACAGTTACTGCAGCATTCCAGGCATATGACTGAAAACATGTTTTTAATGTCTTGCAGATGTGTGAAGCTGGAAATCACTTTATCAACGTAGCTTTAGCTCACCAAATTAATTCAGGTCTGTCTTTGTTTCCTCTTTGTCTATTTAAGACTGAAGTGTGCTTAACCTATCCATCTTCTGCTGGTGTACAGTAATTTATGTACCTACATCCAGAGATTAAAGAAAGATGAAGTAGGTACCATGCTATCAGTCTATCTTCAAAATAGATGTGGTGACAAGAAAACATTAGCAACACTGTTGTTGTTCCAAAGCTTATAGTAAATCTATCTTAATTAAATACAACTCCAATTTAAATATGGATTTAAGCACAGTTCTTTAAAGCATGCTGGTGACTGACAGCAGATTCCATATTAAAAAAGTACCAAAAACTTTTAAACTATATTGCAGAGTTTTTAGATACATGCATCTCAGGCAAAGATACACACACATATATAAAATTACACAAAGAGAGATTCATGAATACCTATACAGGCATCAATGTATATGTATGCTCTTAAAAGGCTAGTCCTAAAAAGGGTTTTCAGGACCTTTTGTATCATGAGAATAAAAGTTATACTATATATACTGGAAAGTAAAATATAGTTTCAGACAATAATAGTACAATTTTCCACTATAACACTCTGTTTAAGAAACTACCACAGTATGATCAGCTTCATACACAGAAGTCAGTTTCTATTCTGGAAGGCTTTTCATGCACTGTGGTTAGGCAAGTGCTTATATTGTTTGGTGCAAGGGGCCTAATTCAGCTTAAAAGCAGCAAGAGCTAAATAATTATGTTCTCAGCGCCTACAAGTATTAAAGTAGCATTGTTGCCAGCACTTAAAAATATTGATAATAGATAATTTCTGCAATTCTTTTCTTACTTTTTGTATAGGGTAATGCAAGTCCTTGATGAGAAATCACTGAGATATTTCCTAACAAAAAATCTTTCAATTCCAACTTCAGAATAAAGGAATTATTTTTACCTGCTCACCAGTCCAAGGAAGCAAGGAAAGGGAAAAAAACCAACCAAACATAAAACCCCACAATAATACAAACCAAGCAAAAAAACCAACCAACCCCACATGTTTACAAAACCACTGAATTTGTATTAGATATTAAATATCTAAAACATAAAGTATACACTATGACCTTTTTGTGTGAGCATTATCAGTGACCATAGAGAGTCATCCTGTTAGCTCTGGAGTTGTTTTCCTATTCTAACCAGAGATGTAGGGTGAGGATGTGGGAGCAGACAGGTTCACGTTCCTGAGCCAGGCTGAATAAGATACAGCTGCATCCCTTATATCCCAGTAGAATGCCCTTAGTCCTCACCTGCTGGCTAGTACGCATTGAACTACTTGTCTCTCTCTTCCTCTGAACAGAAGTTGCATCCTCTGGACATGCCAGACCTTCTTGTAAAAACTGATGCAAGGTTCGCTAAGCAGCGTTCTCGCTGGGATACATACAACTTTCACTATCTCCAAAGATTTCACTGAAACTTTTCTAAAAAGTTGTACTCTGAGAGCGTTGGCCAAGGAGATGCCTGTTACATAGGCAAGCTGTGATAAGGCTCAGTTCATCCCTCCCTGTATTGAAACTGGTTCTGTCTGATTTTTCCCCCCCTCCATTTTTTTTTCTTTTCATAAGGAAATAAAACCTGTTTTCCAAGTCCAACTTACAACCCCTTCACATGGCTCTTCCTGCTGGTATCCTGTCCCAACTATACATATGAGGTACATGACTTTCTTCTGCTTATATGCAAAGGGTAAGGTGATTACTGTGCTTCAGCCTTTGTCTCCAGAAATCAGCAACACCTCCATGCAGTTCCCTCTACACATCAATCATGGTGTTCTGTATGTCAGTCTCCTTGCTCCCACAAATATTTCTCCACCAGACCCTTCTCTTCCCTCACATCACTATTATGGCTCTTGGTTTTATTTCCCTCCACTACAGACTCCCCAGTGATCCAAGGATTTACTATCCATCTCTTCACCCCACCCAGTACACTGGGGAGTTCATTTCTAGCTATTTTCCCTCTCCCATTTCAAGTACAAGTACCACACTCTTTCTCAGGGGATAGCTTTTGAAAACTTGACATTTTGCTTTACAAAAAATATACAACTTACAGTGCCTTTTTCTTTGCAACAGGCTGGGTCTTGGATTAGTTTCACAGTGATGACACAAACTCTGCCAGGTAAGTTTGAAACAGAATGAAGACAGCATCTGAAGTGTTGTTTGTGGAAGTGAATTCTGGAAATATAAAATTTGCCAAAAAAAATTTATAACATATGAAATATTGCCATCAAATTCCCCTAGTGAGATATCTGTGTAAACCTTCAAAGTGCTACCCTCAGAAAGCTGTGGAGAGCGTGAACACTACTGCAACACCTTATTTGATCCAAACCAGCTCTCTATTTTTTGTGACATATTACTGTTCCTTCCATTTCCATAGTGAAAGTAGACTTTGAAATTGAGAAAAAAAAAAAAAGTCAGTATTCTTCATTTACAGTCAGTCATTTTTGATATAGGAAAACTTCTTTGCATTGTAAACCTGGAACAATACTTCTAACAGGGAAAAGAAAACCCACTAATGTAGAATTTCAAAAACAGGAAGGGCACACATATTCTTGGTACCATTTCCCTGTTTACATGTATCAGGCAGCCAGCCCATAACTGTAGCCACCTCAGCAGTGTTTGTGACTCTTGTTCAGTACTTTCCTGCATCCTTAGAGACCTAAATACTCATAAAGATATGGTTCCTGAAACTAAGCTTTCTAAAACAGTCACTTTTTAATTATTTTATCTTTTCAAAATAGAAACACATAAAAACTACTTGCAAAAAGTAGCCCCACTTGGTTTACAAATGAAAAAGCAATGAATTTCAAAAGTGGGTTAAATTGCATCATGCAAAGATTAAACTTTAAATTTTGTTTGAAAAGATGAAACATTTTTGTGCTTTAGGCTCTGATATGGAAATTATCTGAAAGTCTGGGGACATTGTAGGGCTGTCCCTACAGTGGCAGGAGCAGTAACATATGAAGCACTCTCCTTCTTGCTGTAATTGTCCCAGACATAACTCGAGCAGATGCCAAATAAATGTTTCTGTTTCACTATCTTATTTAAGGAAGAAAGGATAATGAATTTGCCAAATGAGCTAGTAAAATCATCCCCCACTTGGTGCCACTCAACCTGAAGGGAGAGGTAACCAAGATCCACTTTCTGGCTCCTGACAACTACAGCAGGGTCCTGGGAAGTCTGTAGATGTTCGACTTTTTGAGACTACTGCCAGGCAACTAAATCAGGCAGCTACTGCCTACTTGCTCCAGGGCCAAGCTCTCTTTCCCCAGAGCCGGATGTTACAGAACAGCTCCCTGTTATGGTTGGGAGCCAGAGGTAAAAACAAAGAAGTACTGTGGTCCAAAAGCAAACCAGAAAAATAGTTGTGAGAGGCCATGGGTAATTCTGTGTTGAGATGCCATCATGGCCAAGGAGGCCTTGTGAGTTATGGTGAAGTTGTAGGTGATACATGTGTGTCTAACAGATGTGAACATCATCTGTGTGAACTCTGATGCTGAGGATGAGCCTCAGGCTATGGTGTATGAGCAACTGCAAGGCTGAGAGTCAGGACAGAGTTGTCTCTGCCCACAGAAGAGACTGCAAACATTTACATAAACCCTACTGTATTCACAGAAACAGGCATGGAAAGAAGACACATGATCTTTTTCTTTAAATCTTTTTCATTGGTAGTTGGCATTTTTGCTTTCCTGATGGTCATCCAGATGTCTCTCTGGGCCCAAAAGAAACACAAGCTGTATCTGAAGAGATTTTATCCAGAAGTGCGGAGAAAAGCAGCTATGATTCCTATCATCTTCTGAGATCTTCATAAGAGTTGGAGCCCAAGTGTACAGTTCAAGAGCCAACTCGGAGCCATTTCGTTGAGTAACCAAGTGGATCAGAGGAAGAACTACTGGATATCTTTTTCAGACAATTCACAGTTCAAGAAGAAGAGCTTTTAATTAAGTGCAAAAATACAGCTCTTGAATTCTTGGTTCCTTCTAAAGATATAATTTAATTAGATTTTCTGTAATGGAGCTAATTGGAAAGGGACAAGAAAACTGCTTATATTGAATGTTAGATATTTAGCTGGTGTAAGTGGGCACAGATGCTGTTGCAATTAATGAACACAACTCATCTGCATGCATTCAGGTCTGGTAATTTTAAGGTTCAGAGTTAAATGTTGACAAGAGTCTTGAATTTTTGCATCAGAAGATGTTTCACAGCCTTATCTCTATTAAACTGCACAAAACCAGCACATTCTGCCTCAGCTCCTCTAAACCGTCACATCAAAGGATGACCGCTTTGCTGTGAACACCATTTAGTCCAGCTTCACAAGGTTTTTCTTTCTTTTTTCTTTTTTTTTTTTTTTTAAATCAAATTTCATATCAAATTGTTCAATACAAATTGGCTTAAATTGATCACTGCGAAGAGGTCTAACTTGCTTTTATTTTCAGATAGGCAGATCATCTCCACAATTTCAGAAGGGGACTATTTGTGAGGTGCTCCCCATTTTGCTACTAATTTGAGGCATGACCTTGGGTACATCACTTAAGTCTGTCTCCCTTTCCTATTGAACAGTCTGGAAATAGCAGAAGACTTTTTGATCTAAAAAGCATGTTAAGATCTCCTTGTTCAGTGGCCGACTGCATCCAGACACTGTTCACCTTACTTGTATCAGGCACTGTGAAATCCGTGGGCACAAGGTGAACCAGAGAACAGCTTGTTATTGAAAAAGGAAAGCGATCCTGCCAAATGCATTTCTGTCCATATTTGAACTGCCTCAGATGGACACTGCTGAAAGGCTTCAGCTCCCCTTCAGTTTGGTCGGGCTCTATCTGCTACTTTGCTTTCCAGGACATTATTTCTAAGGGATTCTCTAGGCTTGTATTCAAGTCCTGAAAACACTGTGTAGCTCCATTTGCAAATCAGTGGCATCCATGTCATGCAGAAGGACAACTTTAGTTATACAGAGCAGAAAAACCAGAGCTGCCTCAGCAGGTATTAAGATACGGAGAGTTAGGGCATTAAGTCCTGTTTTCATTCTATTTCTGCTGCACATTTTTCAATGTCTTTTGGCTCCCTTAGGCTGGTGAAAAAGCTTGCCTGAAGAACTTTATAATCATTAGAGAAACACTGTAGTGTACACAGGCAAGGAAGGCAGTTTGTCTCCTAAAGGCGCCATTATCTTTGCACCAGCTTAAGTGTTCTAACAAAGTTAATTTGCCCAGTAAATTGGGTTCATATCCCTCATCTAATGTCTAACTTGCAACACTTACACTATTAGCCACTGTAACTCAATTTCATCTTTGTAATGTAAATAGATCACTTTCCATATTTTTAAACTTGTAACCTGTGAACACCTAAAATTTTTATTCCTCTCAATGGAAAAACCCTAATCAAAGTGAATATCCACTTCTCTAACCCAGACTGCTAATAAAGATCTATTTTTGAAAAATTATTTTCTGTACTCTATAATCGCATACTTAGCAATATTTTTAAAACTTTTTTTTTTCCAGGCAGTGTTAAATGCGTGAGTCAAGACTGTTGTCTGTTTTTATTAATGTAGCTACAGGGGATTCTTTTAATTTCATGTTTATGAAATGTCTCATTTTATCAATCTTCAAGTTTAAAATAGTCCATGTGAGAGGGCAACTTACCAAAATTAGTTACTTATCTATTAATTTCTTGATTGCAATGGCTGCAGCTATAAGTCTGCTCAAGGCATATTTCCAGTGTGATTCTGATGGCTAGGAATATGGTTCCTACAGATAGCTTAGGCAAAGGAAGTACTTCAGGAATTGTTTAAGCTGTTTCTTAATTGGTTGGTCAGTAGATGGGATGGGGAGGAGAAGGGTTTTAGCTCTTGTAGTAAATGACTGAAGTTTTAAAGTAGAGTAAGTAAAGTAAAGTAGGGTGAGAGCAAACACTAGGTAAGAACAAGGGAAGATCCATCGCAGAAGGCTGTCTCAGATACACATGATAAGATATTTTGAGATTCATCAGTGTGGTGCTGATGAGCTAAAACTGCTCTGAACAGTGTTAAGTGGCTTCACAAATGGCAATAAATCTAACTTCCTGCACCTTCACAGATCTTTCTCTATTACACTGCCTTCTCTGATTTTCAGGGCAAGTTCTGTGTGACTAGAACAGGTAAGTTAACTTCCTGGAATGGGGAGTTTTTAAAACTAAAAGTATATAAAAATGGTCAGTCTTTGTTTTGCTAAACACATTGGATGCCTTGCTTTTAGAAAAAACCCAAAACACAAGAAGCCCAGGCAAAGGGAAAAAAAAAAAAGGCAAAAATTAAGTATTAGTATATAAAAACCTATGATCACCTAATCAGTAATTTAAGCCCACGAGCCCCATGCGCATTTTTGAACAAAAACAATTGTCCTCACACAAACATTTTCATGAGAAAGTTTGTCATAATTGTGCTGATTGCCTGGGAAAAATACCTTATCAAGCTCTCTCTATACTGGTATTTTTTGTATTAGGGGTTGATGAGGAAGTAAATGGTCAACTGCAAATTCCTTTGGCTATATTTCCTCTTAAGCACAGACCTACTTTTTTCAGAGCCCTCAGTAGAAGGAAGGCATGGGCAAGGCCACCCCACTGCCAGAATGCTGCCGTGTTTCAAGGTCAAAGGGAAGGAGTCAACCTCCAATATGAGCCATCAGATGCAACTCAGTACTTTTCATGTGAAGCTGCTTCCAAGGCATTGCAAAGGATGGCACCACTCCGGTGAACTGAAGGCATTGGTGTCCATGGAGAAGGGAAAATAATTAGGACAATGTGAATTACATTTTGCAATGCTGCTTCTCCATGAGGGCCATAAAATTCACTACTTACAACAAAACCTGATTTGTGCCTTTGAGCTAAATCCCTTTCTGATGCTGTTCTCCTCAGTTTCTGTATTTGGAAAGCTGACTGAACACAGGGCAGTAAATCTCCTCCCTACAGTGCTCTGCCCATGCTGTTGCTCCCAGGGCAGTGTGAGCTGCCCTGTGGCTTCTGTCAGCACCAAAGCCTTCCTAACTGCTTGTGAGGCAAATTACAACATTTCTCATGAAAGGCAGGAGGCAGCAACACTGTACAGCAGAACAATCAAGTGGTTGAAGCTGGAGACACATTCTGGTTAGCTGTGAGGAGCTCATGCTGTCCCATGTATTGGAGCAATTCCTGCTTAACAGTCCTCAGGAGCTAAGCCACCTAAGCCAAGAAATCACAAAGAAAGCAAGATACAGACACTTTGGGGCTACTAGGCAACAGTTCTGTCATGAACTGTGTAAAAATAAATCAGATGGAGTATGAATAGATCTTTCTTGGCCTGCCAATAAGGACTGTGTGAATGGCATTACTCAGCCAGTGGGCTCAAAGCGTATCCCAAAATAATCACTCCCTGGTCTACCTGGAGAGACTGCCCAACATCCGGGTCCCTCCGTGTCAGATCACCCTGCAGATTACAGCTGGGTTTCTGCTGTGACCCTCCAGATGGGCAAGTCTCGTCTTTCCCAAATTATTCCCAAGACTTTCAAATTCAGGATCCTGAATCTGAGCCTAAATTTAAGCCTTCAGATACGCACACCTGGATTTTTGTGACTAGCTCTTGCCATGAAATGCCAACCTGGAAAAGAGCAGGCACCAGCTCAGGCTTCCTGGTAGTGCAGGGAGGTGTTGTGATGGGGAACCAACGTGGCAGATGCTTCTGTACACAACTTGGCAGCCTATATTCGGATTCCCAGTTTGAAAAAGCCCTTAAGACCCAGCCATATGTTTGTCTTATAAGATGGTTACCACATCCTCGCAACTGACAGGACTGGAAATGATCTCAGTGATTTTGTCTTTCCATAGGGAAAGGGGAGCTCAAAAGGACACTGAAAGTAGAAGTGAGTAACGGCAGATGGTCATCCTTTTTTTTAAAGATGCTATTATCATCAGAATATCTTGTATTTTCCATTGTTTTGTATAAAGTAAGTGACTCTAAATTGGCTTTTATCACACTAGGAACTGAGATAAAACAGCCTACTATCAAAGTAGTTCTCTGAAAGAGAGCTTGCAGTGATAGCTAAATATAATAAAATAAAAATCACCGAATGTGAAACTTCTAAAGCTCACTATAAGAGGAAAAAAGCTATAGGAAAGCAAGAGACTGTTTATCTATTTATAGTTTTAACAAGTTCTGCTGAACTAAAAATTATTTCAAACCATAAAGAGTTTTTCAGCAAGCTAATATTTTTCACATGGTGCTTTATTGACTTTCCTGTTCCATATTTTCCTATGCACAAGTTTTGCCTACAAGTGATATTCCCTGTCATTAACGTTCATGGAAGCTTTTAGAGAAACACACTGTATGCCTATCCCAGTGTTCGATGAATAAATGCAGATGAAGTGTTGTGCTGTCATTGAACACAGATTAGTATCTATATGAACAATATTTTTTCATGAAAGGCCTGGTTTATCATAGGTGAGTGCACAGAGGCTGCTGTATAGATACAATTAAAGGGGCTTTTCACATCACACAAGTTTAGCATCACAGAAGAATGTTGATTTTAATGGTGTCTGCACATCTTCAGCCATCTGCAACTAAAACTGAAACTCTTTCTGTGGAAAGCAGAACCGAGAGCTGAGCTGTCCCACAGCTGGTCCTGGCCATGGTCCTTGTGTTTGGTTATTCCTTTGTCTGGCAAACCAGAGATTGGCTTTCACCCTGCTCTGCCCTGTGAGGACATCTGAGAAAGCATTAATTTTTTCCTCTGTCCGACTGGACAAGCAGTTGTCCAGGTGAGGAGTGTTGTTCACTGTGCAACTGAAAAAATCCACATTGAATTTCCTTGGAATGTAATAATCAATCTAAGACCTCTTTATAAAAAGAAAAGTTAATGGTTCCTGAAATACATGTGCTTAGATTAAAAAACATCTACCACATATTAACACCTCCACATTACCCAGGCTTCTAACATGTACCTGCTTCTATCTAACTTCTAAAACCTTTGAAGATTGAGGAACCAAGTATGAGGAAATCATTTATAATAAAAGAAATATGCAAGAGTATTCAGTAATACTAATGAATTCTATGTATAAAAAAGTGAACCATATCTTTTGTCAAAGAAATCTGATTGTTAGTCAGTTTCTTCCTAACATAGAGTATTCTTCCTGTGAAAAAGAAATATATGTCTACCAGTATCCCTTTCCTTGTTTCAAGTACCTGGCCATACTCAATGGGAAAAGGCTTTTGCTTCAAAATTACAAGTTCCACCATTTGGGGACTCTTAAAGCACTACAGGACAGGCTCCAGAGAAAACAGACCACATCAATCATTTTTTCCCTTCTATTCATACTGAAAAGTTTATGAGTTTTCAGCTGGCTGGTGAAACTGTGACACTGTCACAAAGCAAACAAATATTTAAAAAGGTGTCCCTCTCCTCAAGACAGGAACAGAAATAAAAAGTACTTTTTACCTTTTCTATTAATAATATGAAGCCATTTCCAAAGTTCAAGGGCATCCTTGCAGAAGGAAACGTTGATTAGAAATTTGGAAGAACAAGAATGTGGTTCCAGTGTGCTTTTAGGGATTAGCAGCTATGTCTTTTTTGAAAGAAATTTCACTCTTTCTGACAACCAAGCTTGAAAGAAATGGATTAAAGATGACACATCTCCAATATCGCATCTAATGAAAAACAAAGTACCTATTCTTGAACCAAGAGGGAATATTTGTCACATATACAAACACTATATTCTTCCACCCTCTGGTTTACATCATCTCTTTGCAGAAGGTGCTTTGAACTGGACTTGTACGCCTTTCATTCAAACTCTTAATTATTTACCTATTAGAGCTTTGATATACACAGCTATGTCACAGGAAAAGCACTTGATTTCAAAACACTGAGGATGAAGAATCTATTTGTACACTGTAAACCAATTTCAGCCCTGTTGCCCCACATACGCCTGATTTTTTTGCTGCCATTTTCAGAATATCCTTCCAATAACCACATGAAGAACAATGTTCAGCCATGTTCAGAGACTTGCCAAACATCCCACCCTAGTCCAGTTGCAAAGTACAGAACTAAATCTTGAAGCAGTGAATTGCAATACCTGGCTCTACCTGAGCCCTAACTTCAAAACACCTCTCCTTGCTTCCTTTGCTCCTGACCTCTGCAGGGCTGAAGCTACTCAGGGACTCCTCTCTGCAAAAGCACAGGTAATTCTTCCAGGTTTGCATCAGTGTCTTACTGTGAAATCATAAATCTGGAACAACAGAAGCAGCAACACTCTCAAGTACATGTTTGACATGCTTTCTTATTCAGCGGGCCCTAGTAGATAAAACAAAGATGGATATTGTGCTTTTATGGATACAGAGACAAACTGAACAGGGCTATAGTAATTAGAGAATTGGCTTCTCCTCAGGGGTTCAGTGCCTTGGCC